GCGGGGGAAGAACCCCTTGAAATTAAGTGAAAATTTAACTCACAGTAAACAGTAGTACTAGTTCCTGAGGAAGTGGTTAAACAAATAGCAAAAAACAGGGCAAACATAAGTTAGATATTACTAACAGGACACATGCACAATCAGAGGGAGGGGTTGTGTGTGGGGGCTTTTTTTCTTCAGACTAGGGAAAAAGGTCACTTAACCATCATTAACAGCAAACACAGTTGCTCCCCCAATAGAAGCAACAGTTATTTTTCACTACATACAGCTGCTGTATTTTCTGGCAAGTCATGAGGTTTTCTACAGAACAAGCAGACTTGGTAGCACATTTCAAATCAGAATGTCAGTGATTAGTTCCCCCTCTGCCTTCCATAAAGAGTTTACATCCCCATCCAAAATTTGCAACAAGAAAAAGTTTAATGTGTGTTATATATTTAACTAGAGGCAAACTAATGTATTTTAACATCAATTCAACCCAACAACTAAAAATAATAAAATATTTTATTTGTACATCTGTTATTGCCTGCTTCTCCATCACATTTTGAACAGTCTGTATCTGAAGGTATGCACTGATCTCTAATTCTTGCTAGTGCAAGCAGTTACTTCAGTTTTTAAAAGTTCTTAAATTGTGTTTAAATTTTAAAAAACCCATTAAAAATACTTCCAAGGCATGAAGGAAGACAAATAGTTTAGAGAACTGTAGCATGCAATTGAAAAAACAGTAAATGCAGAAAATGATCAAAACACAAGATAAATCAGAGAGATCAGTGAAAACTAAAGCAAAGATAGTATTTCACTGCTATTCTCAAGAACTCTCCAAAGCTAAAGGAAAGGAATTCTATGAATCCCCTAGTAATCTGATGCCACAACTTTTTCTCTTCTGGAGGTAAGGTGGTATCGGGCTATCAAAAGGAGAAGAACCCAACTTTCCATTTATTGCAGACTCTCTCAATTCTCTCCCCCCTAAAACCGTAATAGGCAACAGTCTGAGCCAAAAAGATACAGCTCAGACTGTTGCCTATTAAGTCAAGAGTCCGCTGGATTAAAATCTTTTATTTAACAACTGAAGCAGAAAACAACCAACCAAAGCTATTAACCATACCAGGACCAGATCCTGGAACCTTACCTAGACACAGACATTTGTACTGGCACAAAATCTCAGTGATGTAAACACTGCTCAACCTAGCACAAGGGGTCTGCCTGTTGGTAGGCTCAGGGCCTCTGAAATGTGCTATTTTACAGGAAAGTCAAAATGGTATCTGATTGCAATGTAGTAGAAAATCTGCCAACTTCTATAAGCCAGTTAACTATCTAGCGGATTTGTGATATTTCAACTAGATATAAATGGATAAAAATGTGCCATGTTTCAGTTGCATGGAATCATTTAAATTTAATATTCTGAAAAGAGAGCAGTTTTAGAACAAGATTTTATTTGACAAATCATTTTAAGACTGTGATAAACAGTCATCTACAAAAAAAATAAGAAACTCCTTGCATCCAAGAACATCTAATCTTATGCTGTCTCTAAATTACACACATCAAGTATGTAATATGTGTTGTAAGGAAATACACATATAACTTGTATTCCACCATGAAATAAAAGTTGTTGGCCCTCCACACACCCCCACCTAGTGTAAAAAAAACTGACAAAAATTAGGAAGCATTTTTAAAAGTTTAACTAGACAGAAAGTGATGTCACTAGATAAGGGAGTGAGTGATGTTGAGCAAGTTTTAACTAATAGGGTCTACCTTCACACCAAATATTGGTAAGAGAGCTAATAAGTCAAACATTAAAATGTCAGATCAAAGAGTAGAAACTATTCTGGTTAGTTCCAAAGCATGCATCCAACCTACTAGGCCATACTGCCTTCCAACCAAGTTAATGAAGCTGCCTAAAAATAGACTAATACAAATGCTTTGCATTTACCTACTGCTTTTCCACCAGTACATGTTGAAGGACTTGAGAAAGGCAGGTAAGCATAATTAGACTGATTATAGTTAAGACACCTCTAATGAGATTTGGAATAATCTATATAAGAGTCACTCTAATGGATAAGCTCTGGGTCTACCAACCAGATCAGAGCTGCATCTACAACAAGCTTCCTGTATAACCTTTGGCAAGTCATCTAAAGATTAAGGTAGGATTGAACACTAAATGTAGAGAGGTTACCTCATTTCCACAGAACACAAAACTATTGATAAAAGAATAGAACTATGGTTCTTCAGCTCAAGAAACACGCGCCTCTAATCCTTGAGCCAAAGAAGTAATATAAAAATGTCCTTGTATTCTTTTTAGGCTAAGCCAGAGGTTAACATGCTATCATACACAGAGCACGTGATCTATCCTAACTTTAATGGAAGAATGGGTCCAAAACAAAACAGTACAAAAGATGAATAAGCTTCACTTATTTCTACACTACCTTTTCCAAATGTAGTTGGTGCGTGAGCATTTAAGGAATGTTTTAGCTGCAGAAACCCAGAGACATATAAGCCACCAGGCTTTGAATCTGATTTGTGTGACTTTTAACTGAAAAAATGTGAGAATGTACCACGAATATTTTCTCCTTTAACTTCAAAGTCAGGCTTACAATTTTCAGGCGACACCAATTTTCCAACACAAAGTTATAGGTCAACAAAAATAGAATAATGGAACTTGGTTGCAATCATAGGCCCCAGTCCCACAAATGCTTACGTGTGACCTCAGTGGGTGCATCTACACATGCAATTAATGCAAAAGGGTAAACACCGGAGCTGTTTGAGCTACAGCATACTCTCCCAGGCACACTGTCTACATGTGCACCCAGGGCAGAAGCACTTTTGAGCCAGGGCAGAGCAGACCCGGGTGGGCAGCAGGCTCAGCTGAGTGGCGGCATCAGGCAACAGAGAGGCTGGCTGAGGCTCAAGTGTCAAACATGCAGAACCATGTGGGTAGGGGGCAGGCAGGAGTCTGGCCCTGCTGGCTGAGCTGAGTGGGCACAGTTTACACCCAGGTCAGCATTTACATGTGCGTTTTACTGCAGTTAACAACTCTGCCATAAGACATCACTGTCCCTGACAGTACTATCTTATGGTGGAGTTAATTAACTTGCTACGACCTAATACCAGTGCATGTATAGATAGTGACACTTTACTACAGAGCTAATCAGTCTGCTCCACAGTAAAACACACATGTAGGTGCACCCAGTGTCACTGAACTCAATTGGACTCTGTGGCCATGTCCACACGAACATGGATGTCTGGTTTTCAGGGACAACTAGAAATGAGTCACTTTATACCACCACTAATTGTCCCCAGGGAACACCAGCGCTACATGCCCCTGGTACACAACAAGTTACTCTAGGTGGGGTAGGGGAGGCTGGAGCCAGCACTGAACGGGCCCCAGCAGCCCTACCTGGGGCCCTGAGGGCCTCCCGGGGGTACAGTAGCAGTGATCTTGCCACTTGGAGCCTGGCCAGCAGCTGGAACATGACTCCACACAGCCCAACTCCAATTCTGAGCAGCGCACGCTCCACCTTTTCTTTTTCCCCTGTGAGATTTTTTGATCCCTGGACATCCCACACCACTCCCTTGCAGCACAGAGACCACCTGAACATGCAGTATGTGGTCTGTGGCACCACATACCACAGTGCTGCACTCGTCTGGACATTACCTGTGTGTGGGGAAAAATGTCTGGTCACATGAAAATCGAGGACTCAATATTGAGCATGTTCTAGTTGTCTATAGGGGCTATTTTCCCCCTCTATATAACATTAGACTGAGAGAAGACGGAACAAACCAGGATCTTATATCACAAGAAGAAGCAAGAAACTAGAACTGATGGGGATAAGAGAAGGAGAATGAGGAGCTGAGATGAGACAGAAAGCAGAGGTTAAAGTCTGCATACATGTGCTTTTACAGTATATTTGTCTTGGCACTGCTTACAAGTTCAAGATTGCAATGCCAAAAAAACACAGCATGGCAGGACGCTGCCACCTACCCAAATGAATAGGGAACAGTGTAACTAATTTATCTAAGGAAAAACAACCAGCAGTCAGAGTCAGATCCAAAAACATGCTATCCTTGAAAATTCTTCCACTTCCACTGAAAGGGTTTATAAATAAAGGAATTTAGACGATACCTAGTTAGCAACTCTGTTTTGTAAAGTTATTCTTTTTCCTTTATCAATTTAAAATAAATCTTACATTTTGTCATTTGTATTTCCATTCTAATCATATTTCACTAGGCCTTGAATATTTCCCAGACTTACTCTTTTGTACTCTTTGTAGCCCCACAGCAATCTGCAAACATTAGAATATACAATTCTGATCAACTCATTTTACTGCACCACAAAGTAAGAGGCAAAGACCAAACAGATTCCAAATGAACCTATTTAGTTTTGGCAGGAAATATTGTTATACCACCAGTCCTTCAATACTTAACAAAACTAACCATTAACTTTACTTTAAAAATCTGATATTCAGCAGAAAAGGATATGAAACGCTGGAGAGCGTAAACATACTAAAAAAAGTGCAAGAATTTCCCCCTACAAAAATGAAATCTCTGATTCCGAAGACACAATCCTATCCATCTACAGTTGTTTTTCTGGAGGTATTACTCAAAATTTTATGCTGCACAAAGAATTAATTAATCTCATCCATACCAGAAAAAAAATGCCAGCAGGACCCTTCAGGCTTACAGAGGTGTGCTTGGATGTTTGCTGCTTCGCACATGAGATACAGCTCCTTGTGGCTGCACAAATTTATGAAAAATTATTGGGAAAATACCACATCTGAGCTGTTGCAGAGTGGTTTTAAACTGACATGACACATGCATTCAAGCTGTGACACTTCATGATCCTGCCAATGCCCTAAGCCAACAATGCCTCCAACTTGAATAGAAGTCAGAGAGATTAAAATGCATGGACAGTTTTAATTGGAAATGCTAGACACCTGCACGTAATATTTCATAACATTGCTGATTAAAACTAATTTCAGTGCATTTCTGAACAATTTCTGCCTTACCTCGCTTTTTCATCTCCCTTTTCAAGGTCCATCAACAGACCAGAAAACAAAAAATATTATTAAGACAGAACTTTGCTTCAAGTTGTCCAGAGTGCATTTGGTGCTGTCTTTCTACTTAGTTTGAAAACTCCACCAAGGAAAGAGCATGCTGCCTTCTGCCCACAGCCATGTATACTACCAGGTTTAAATAACAAGAGGAAAAGGCTCCTGCAGTAAAGAGAGAAGATGGGAACTCTCAAGTTTCTGACCTATGAAATCAGCCCAGACAAAATGTGACAGAAGTGCTGAAAGTGTCAAGAAAGAAGCTTCTTGCCAGTGAGCACAGTCCTCATTCTTCAATTTGGAGCAGAAGTTTTCCTATTTAGCTTTGGCTCAGCACGTTCATGAAAGCTGCCTTTTATTGCTCTCTCAATTCTCCATTATCAATCAAGAGACCTCCAAAGAAATCCCGACTGTCTGCATACAAAATGGCTAATTTAGGCAAACAGAGCCCTTCAGCCTGGCATGCACCCACCCTTAGCTGCTCTTTGACTTTGATGATGCTCAGTTCCATCTGTCAGCTGGGTATTGCAGATGGCATTGTTAGACTACTGCCTCTCTCACAGAAGCACTCCAAAATGTTTCCAAATGACATGTTATGCTGATCTTGCTATCAAGGGTCTGTTTTGGGGGTAGAAAAGGAAAAAAACTAATCTATAAAAAATGAATCTGGACATAAGGAAGAACTTCTTTATTGTCTAAGCCCTCAGGGTTTGGAACAGACTGCCACAGGAGGTGGTTCAAGCACCTATTTTGAATGCCTTCAAGATGCATTTGGATGCTTATCTTGCTGGGACCCTATGACCCCTGCTGACTTCCTGCCCCTTGGGCAGGGGGCTGGACTCAAAGATCTTCTGAGGTCCCTTCCAGCCCTAATGTTTATGAAATCTATCAATATGCAGCAGTCAGTCAATCCGATACTGAGAAAACCATTTTCTCCAGGATACCAGAGATAAGTCACTGAGTGTTTGAAATGCTTATCACGAAGGACCCATTCTCTCAGGTGTTCCAAAAGGTTCTGTTGCCCGCACCACGTCATGGGCAGCCAGAGAGGTCCCTACATCAGCATCATCATTTCTTCTCCTTTTCTCAGAAAGGTCAACTGTCTAATCCGGAAGGGGGCACCCTGAGACCATCCTAGTTCTTCACTGCCATGTCGGTGGTCAGACTAGCCCTGGAACTGCACACAGAAAAGAACAGAATTTAAAAAAAACAACACACCTGCTAAATATTTTTCTCCAACTTCAGAAACCAAAAAAAGAAAAGCCTCTCAAGTCATTATTGATCTAGTCTGCAAAAGACAAGAGGTGAAAGTCTCCACTGAAATCTGGACAGTGGATTCAGATGTGCATAGCAGACCATTTCTTTTGGAGCTGTATATTCTCGTTTATCAAAACATGCAAAAAATAAGACAACTCCCGTTGAATGAGTTTGTTTTCTTAGGCAGCAAAGGGAAAAACAAAGGTGGCAGAAAGAGGAAACAGAAGATATTCAAAGACATGTTGTAATGTAAGCAGCAAAACGCCAGAGACGTCTATAGGTGTAATCTAGAGCAGCTGAACAGGACGGTGCGCTCAGGAGCTCTGGATTTCTTCTGTGAATTAACAGCTGTCACACCCAACACAACTTGAGTGCTACAGGCACCACTCAAGGCATGACTGTCACTGAAATGACGGCAAACAAGAGGCAGCATTGTGCACACCACTGCAGAGACAGCGTCGCAACAAAGAGCGGCCTATCCCGACTCACAGCCCACATGGGCAGCCTCACTTAGTTGACTAATGAAGGGTTCAACATTCCTCTCATCGTAAAGGCACGGGCCAGTAATGGAAGGTTTTCCATTTGGGGTAGGAGTTGCATGAATTTTCTCTCCCTGCTTGTTCAAAGTTATCAATCCTGCGCTATTTGACCAATCTTGCCAAATCTTTCACACGTGCTTTGCGTCCCAGTGTATGTAAGAAGCAGCAGAGAGGAGGCGGCTCCGTTCCTCCAGGCCTCGCCGGCACCCGCGCGGCGGAGGAGCCGGGGCTGGACTTCTCTTCCGACCCAGACTTAAGCGCTGGGCTGTAGGGCTGAGCGGAAGGAAGGTTTTCTCCGGCTCCCTGCTGTGCTCACTGGGCTGCTCTGCCCCTGCCCGCCGGCGTCTGGCAGCAGGTCTGCCTGCGGGGCTCCGCGGCCAAGCGCGGCCCTGCCCGGGGATGACAGGGCGGCAGACAGGCGGAGCCAGGCCGGGCCGGGGGTCTGTTCCCCGCGACTAAGCGCTCCGGGCCCGGCGGCAGCCGCACCGGGACAAAGGCCG